ATCTAGAGCTAGGGTCTCTCTTGGTGTGGTAGAGGTTGAAGAATCTTCCATCAAAAGCTAGGGTTCCATTTTCTCTTCATTATCAACACCTTGAGGTAGGGAATCTTGAGTTATATATACTAGTTTTGCTATTTTGATGATGATTTAAGAGTTTTCTTCTAGTTTTGATGATTTCAACTTTGTGATTTCAAAAATGTATAGATTTTCTTCAAAAGAGGGCTTTTCTTTAAACTTTCAAAATTTTGGTCAATCTTTGAGGGTTCCATCTTGTTGATCTAAGAAAGATGTTTTGATGAAGGTTTTCACCAAGGAATGAGAAGTGTTTGTCTTGAGGAAAAACCCTAGAATTTGGGGATTTTGGTAAAATGGAAAATGTCTTTGAAATTCCCTATTTTCTTATGTTAAGAGGATGAATGAGAGTAAGTTTCATCAAATACTTAGCAAAATGGCAATTTAAATGTTATTTGAGAAATGAGATGTTATGTTGATATAACCATTAACACTTGAACATGTATTGTTGTAAATGGCAAATGGTTGTGCACCATGGAGTGTATGAATTGTTAAATCTTATAGTTTAATGTTGAAAACATCTCATGTAGCCTTGAAGGGGCTAGCTTGTTGAGGTTTGGGTATGATGAGAGTTTGTTGTTGCTATAAATTGATAGCATGGTTATTTATGAAATAATGTTAAGGAGAAGAAATGATAAAAGTGATAAATTGATATTGTTGTAGAGATGTTTGAAAAAGAGAAATGTTATGAAGTAATGTGCATTGCATCATGTTCTCATTTAATTTATTATCATTATTACACATCTTGAAATGAATTGGAAAACGTTTACTTTGAGAAAGACTATATTGTAATGAGAACTAACGGAAATGTGAAAGCGGTAAATACGTTAGTAAGTCCAGTTAGGAGGCGTAGATGACTTTGATAAATTGGCCTGAGTGTCTTTGGTGAAAGACCAGAAACCCGCGCGGATAGGTGTCGAGCCTTCCGGTTAATACCGGTTAAAATGACAATTTGGTAGTACTTGTAGAGTCTACTTGCAGACACTAGCTTAGGGATTACCAGTGTCGTATTTACCGCCCCTATTGATTTAAATATTGGAAACTGTGAAATTGGTGAGATGTGGAAAATATTGTGAAGATCATGATGATTTCTAAATAGTGCATTGAAATAAAATTTTCCTTCATTATTGGCACTTGCATGGCTTTACATTTGCATTTTTAAATGTTGAGGGAATTGACATTACTGTATATACTTTGTTAGAACTCTCTACTGGGCTTTATGCTCACCCCTATGGGTTTTGGTGCAGATAAAGATATTGTGATCCTGCCGACCTAAGGGTGTGGATATGTTTGGTGAAGAGTAGAATACTCTTTATTTTGTTGTGATTTTTGTAAAGCCTAGGGCTAATTTGGTATGGGTTTGAGAGACCTTTTTGTGTAACCGGGTTATAGCCTTGGAAGATGTAAGCCCGTAAGGGCATTTCTTTATTTTATTTCTATTTTGAGACTATATGTTTCACATGCTATAGATTCATGTATTCTTTTGTTTCGTTGAATGTATATCGCATATGGAACTTCTGTATTACACTTATTTATCAAAGATGTGAAGATGGAAAGATTATCGTTATTTGTTTAGAGAATGTTCATTAATGTGTGTAGTTCATGTTGAATTATTTCGGGGCGTTACACCAATTGACTGGAGATCCCAAGATCTAGGTTCAGAGGGACAACTGAATAGTGTATGACTCATAAGGATCACTGGGGAGTCAAACTCCTATCCATTTCTATAATGAAATAGTGATATTTGTAGCGTTTTAGGTTAAGTAAATATTTTTGATGATTCTTATATCTAGGAATACCTGGTGAAGTATGGTAGGATACAATTCATAAGAATTACCTATGTGAGTGTAAACTAGGCCGGTTCTATGAGATTTGTAAAGGGTTACAATTCTCTAGAGCACTCATGAAAGATCAGGTTGTTTAGGGCCAAAATGAACACAATAGTGAGAACTAAACTACGTTTGATAATATACCGTGTGAGTTCTATTGTCCTAGTTTACACAAATAGTTGAACAGTTCAGGACATCATGTTTATTGGTTAGCTAGTAAATCCGATATTGTCTTACAAAGGAAGGTTCAAAGCCCAAATCTAATAGTGTCCGTCGCATCGGCTGGTCGAGCTGAGCTTTACCGAGCGCGGGTGTGGGTTACGGGTCGGTTCTAATATTAATTTTTTAGACAAAATTTATTTGAATTTTTTCAAATTCTTGTGGGAATTGAGTTTCTAAACGAAATTAACTTAATTTTTTGCTCCAAATTTTTTCAGTCCAAACAGTGCCCTTGTTTAGTCCAATTTCTAGCAAGATCAAACAGGTTAAACCAGACAGATTAACTGTCCAGCAGGTTCAAACAAGTATGCACTTGTTCAAATTGGAACCGTATCTGTTCAAATTGAAATCAAACCTGTTCAGGTTTGAAATCCTACCTGTTCGGGTCTGTCCTAGCAGTCACTATTTGCCTATAAATAGAGATCATTTCCAGCAGTTTTTGACAACTAGAAATCATAGTCTCTTCCTGATTTTGCTCTCTCTTTGCATTATTCTTCATATTAGTTTTTTAGAGAAATATTTGAGAGTATAGAACACAGGTTCAAGTTCACCGAAACAGATTGTTCTTAGTGCTAATACAATCTGTGTAGATAATTGTATCCTGGGAAATAGACGCATTTCATCTGTAAGCACTGAAGCGGGGTGAATCTGTCTTAAAGACAAAGTGTCACACACTTGACTTGATCTATTTTGGTACTTATTCATTTCGGTAAAATAAATTCTGTAAGTAATTTATTTTTATTTGTTTGATTTGTTTCAAGTTATTTACTTTACACAGAAGATTGTTCTAACAATACTCTTATCTGTTCAATATATTTCCTCAAACCCTCTCTTTCTCCCCTCATCTTTGCCTCTATGCTCTCTCTCTCTAGAAACTAAGTCGATCTCTCTCATCCGCCAACTCCACTGCATCGCTTCCTCCTCTGTCAATCTTACCGTCACTCACCATCACCGCTTTCACTCAGATCTGTCTCTTTCTCCTTCCTCCGCCGATCTCATCCGCACTCACCACCTCCGCCATCGCTGTCATCTCGTCATCGCCTCAAATCGGCAACTACAGTGGTAGAAGAGGATGACGATGAGCCTAAATTGTTTATGTTTTTGTTATTGATTTTGTTATTGTTCTGACTTTTGTGGTTGTGGAGATCGGAGATTGATGAGGATTTTTGTACATGCTGAAGACGAAGACCTTCATCTTAGACCCAAATTTCTTGAAATCGAAGGCGCCATCACCTTCGACAACGCCATCTTTGTGTGGATTTCTAGGGCTCCAAAGAGGAGGATGAAGATGAAGATGTCGATAAGGTTCATTAAATAACTAACAGTGATAATGAAGAAGATGGGGCTAAAGATAACAAAGATGATGAAGATGAAGAGGAAGTTGACAGTTACCAAGGTGATTTTGGAGGACCAGAGAATACTAGGCTCCACTAATTTTGGAGAACCAGAAGATGGAGTGTTTGAAGACGACGAAGATGTTGAGGATGAGGTGATGATCGTTTTTAATCTGTTGCATTTGGCTCCACTAATTTCTTTTACTAATTATTACCTTAGGTTTATGTTTGTGTGTAACTACGTTTATGTGTATATGTAGATGTATATATTATAATCTGTTGTTAGGATATATTATATTGTGCTTTAATGTTTGCTGAAGATATGTTTTTTTGAACAATTAATTTGTTGAATATGAGGAACATATTTTCTTCAGTTATTTGTTGAATATGGGGAACATATTATCTTCAGTTTGTTGATGAATTAAACAGATAAAAAAAATTGAATAGATAAAGCTAAAAAAAAAATTAAACAGATAACTCTTTCTTGTCTGTCTCTAGAATAAAAAATCAAATTGAATAGATAGGAAAAACAAGTTTGGTGAATTCAACCAAGATGATGAATTAAAGTTTGCTGAAGATATTTTTACTGTTGATGATGATGATGAATGATGATGATTTGTGAGTTGTTTCTCCCTAATGATGAGTTGTTTCTCACCCGAGATGTATGTGGTTTTGATGATGATGATGATGATGGTTTTGTGGTAAAAATTTTTGTAAAAATTTATTTATTTTTTAATGTAAATTGTATATTTTTTAAACAATAATGATAGAGATTTTTTTTTGGAAAATCCCCACAACCCACCCCTAAAGAAATTCACACCACTCATGATGTGAGCCTCACACATACATGAGTGGACCCCACACATCATGAATAGTGTTAATCATTTTAGGGGTTGTGTGTGTCCTCCAAAAAAGAGGTCTCACTCATTTTCATTTTTTAAATATTTAACAATTTAAAAAATTTTAATTTTAAATATATATATATATATATTTAAAATTTTTAAAAATTTTAGATCGCCCATATATATCTAAAACATAATAAATTATTTGGCCAATACTTAAAAAAAACATTTTTTTCAAAAATAGAAATAAAAAATATTTTTTCAAAAAAATAAAAATAAAAAGTAATTTTAAAGAACAAAATAAAAATTATTTTTTTTGAATTTTTTTATATATTTTGAAAAGAGTTTGATTATAAATTTTAAATTGAATTTTGAAATCTTTATTTAGTTATGAATTTAAAAATAAAAACTGAAATTTTTTAATTCAAATAATTTGAAAATTAAAGTACCAATTTTCACAAAATAAAATGCAAAAACAAAGAAGGGTCCCACCCACAAGAGGGACTAGAAGCCAGAAAGCTCCTGAGCTGTGAAGGAATTGCCAACTCATGCAGCTACGTTGCCTCTTTATTATATTAAATATTTTTATATCCGTTAAGTCTATAAAATTTTGCCACGTAAGAAAATTGACAAATATAGCCCAGAAAAAAAATAAAAACGTAAGACTCTGTTTTTATTACTAATGTGATCATATTAAGCAGAGCGCCATTTCCAAAATTGCTTCCTCTCTGCAACAAACGGTGATCTCCCTCTCCCCCTATATAATCCCATCCCATCCCATCTCTATATCATTTCCTTCTCTATCGTTTTCAAACTTGCCTTTTGGAACTCTCTCTGTTCTGGTCCTTTCCTTGAAGCTTCGTTTCTTTTACTTTTCTCACTTTATCTGTCTCTGTATATATACAGAGAGACATATCAAATCAAACTAGTTTGCATCATCGCTGTAATATAGATATAGATATGGGTTCTCGGAGATCGCTTTGCCTGTTGGTAGTGGTGGTCTTAATGGGTTGGTCAGAGGCTTATCAGTTCAACGTGGGTGGGAAAGAAGGGTGGGTCTCAAACCCTTCTGAGAATTACAATCACTGGGCTGGCCGAATGAGGTTTCAAGTCAATGACACTCTCTGTAAGTATAATAATTTTCATTTCATCTATCTATCTATCTATATATATATATCATGTTTTAAATATCGACGCATCGGGATATATCAATTGGATCATGTGTATCCGCGATTTCAAGAAATTTGCGAGTCGATTCACAGTTGATATGGTTGGTTTACAATTGTCAAATGAACAAGAGATGCTCTTATTGAATTTGAAAACATCTGATTTATTTATTTTTTTTTTTTTAAAAAATGAAAATGTAACAATGATTTAGAGCATTCGTTAGGCATTTGTTTATTAAAAATTGGGTTTACATATGTATGGCTCAATACTTTTGAATGTTGCTATATATGTTGTGACCGATATTGATAGGTCTTGTTTAAAAACCAATTTGATGTTTGTTGGGTAGTGTTCAAGTATAACAACGGATCGGACTCTGTGTTGGTTGTGAACAAACAAGACTACAACAATTGCAATACCCAAAATCCGATCACGAAGATGGAGGACGGTAATTCTGTGTTCAAGCTCGATCGATCTGGTCCCTTCTACTTCATCTCCGGAAACAAATCTAACTGTGATCATGGTCAGAAGCTAATCGTCGTCGTTTTAGCCATAAGAAACAAACCCACCACCTCTCCTCCTCCGTCTCCGTCCGCCGGAGCTCCTTCACCGCTGGTCCAAACTCCGTCTCCAAGTCCGTCAACCCCGTCTCCATCTCCAACAGTGTCACCTTCACCGGCCACGTCATCACCTTCTCCATCTCCGGTGCCATCTCCGACTACAACGCCGTCAGCTTCTCCGACTCCGGCACCGACTACTGCACCGGCGTCATCACCACCCACAACTCCATCCCCGGCGACAATGTCTCCTCCGTCTCTGACTCCCGGCGGTAGTCCCGCGAACGTTGCACCACCTCATTCATCTGCACCGGCTTTATCTTCTTCACTACTCTTCGTATCATCGGTTACATTTGCGTTATTAAGTTTGTATATTTTTTAGAGTTTGTTTTGCTCATTATCGGTGGTGGATTCATTAGTTTTTTATTTTATTTTATTCAGTTTGTCTTTTACCAGTTTATTGGATTCTCTTCAAGTATATGAGATTTTTTTTGTTTTGGGATTGATATTTTTGGGTTTAGTTTAATGAAATTTATTTATTTTCTGTTTCGTTTAATAAATTTCTGCATTAACTAATTAAATTACTTGTTGCGTTTATAAAGTTGACGTTACTATATCTTGATTTATTTTTAAATCTTAGAAAATTAAGGGTGTGATTTGTTTGTGTTTTGAGATAAATTTTTTAAAAAAAAATTATAGGGAGAGAGTTTAGAAAGTTTTTTAGTTTGTTTGGTTGTATATTTTGAAAATAATTTTCGAGCTTGAGAGTTTAGAATGACTTGATATTTTGTTGTAATTGAGTAAATGTGTATGAAGGAAAAAGTAATTGAGAATGAGAAATGAGAGAGAAAAAGTGATCGATGTGTAATAGAGAGAAATAATTTTAAAATTTATTTGAGAAAATTTGTAACCAAATATGTTTTTGAAATTTTTTTTTAAAAAAATATATTTCAAAACACAAATCAAACGCACCTTAAAATTTTAATTGTCTAAAACTGAAGCAATTGATGAGGGGTTGGTGAATTAGAAAAGAAAACAGTTAATCCAAAACTAGACGTTTGTAAAAAAAAAAAAAAAAAATTAATAACAAAGTAATTTCTTTTGAGTGCAACAAAATTAGAAAGAAAAATATATATAGTAATGTCATATATGAGAATTTTCAACCGTGTATCTTTTTTTATTAAATTTGTATAAAAATTTTATTTGATATCAAGTATTTCAATAGAAGATTTGTCGCTTTCATTAAAATATCGGTCGACCAGGCCAATGACCGGGCTAATGTTCGACCGTTCGATCGGCCAGTGTATTTTTTTCATAAATTTTTGCTTAAAAGGTGAAATCCGGAAGGACTTCCTGGGATGAAAATCTAACAGTTATGAACAGCGATTTGATGAAAGCTCTTAGAAGTTCTTTGTTTGGTGAAAATTTTTGATATCCTCGATTTGATACTAATCTGATGAAACTGTTAGTGCAGGAAAAATGTTATTTTTTTTATAAAATTTAAATTTTATAAAAAAACAATTGATGAGCCTGCACTAACAGTTTCATCAGATTAGTATCAAATCGAGGATATCAAAAATTTTCACCAAACAAAGAACTTCTAAGAGCTTTCATCAAATCGCTGTTCATAACTGTTAGATTTTCATCCCAGGAAGTCCTTCCGGATTTCACCTTTTAAGCAAAAATTTATGAAAAAAATACACTGGCCGATCGAACGGTCGAACATTAGCCCGGTCATTGGCCTGGTCGACCGATATTTTAATGAAAGCGACAAATCTTCTATTGAAATACTTGATATCAAATAAAATTTTTATACAAATTTAATAAAAAAAGATACACGGTTGAAAATTCTCATATATGACATTACTATATATATTTTTCTTTCTAATTTTGTTGCACTCAAAAGAAATTACTTTGTTATTAATTTTTTTTTTTTTTACAAACGTCTAGTTTTGGATTAACTGTTTCCTTTTCTAATTCACCAACCCCTCATCAATTGCTTCAGTTTTAGACAATTAAAATTTTAAGGTGCGTTTGATTTGTGTTTTGAAATATATTTTTTTAAAAAAAAATTTCAAAAACATATTTGGTTACAAATTTTCTCAAATAAATTTTAAAATTATTTCTCTCTATTACACATCGATCACTTTTTCTCTCTCATTTCTCATTCTCAATTACTTTTTCCTTCATACACATTTACTCAATTACAACAAAATATCAAGTCATTCTAAACTCTCAAGCTCGAAAATTATTTTCAAAATATACAACCAAACAAACTAAAAAACTTTCTAAACTCTCTCCCTATAATTTTTTTTTAAAAAATTTATCTCAAAACACAAACAAATCACACCCTTAATTTTCTAAGATTTAAAAATAAATCAAGATATAGTAACGTCAACTTTATAAACGCAACAAGTAATTTAATTAGTTAATGCAGAAATTTATTAAACGAAACAGAAAATAAATAAATTTCATTAAACTAAACCCAAAAATATCAATCCCAAAACAAAAAAAATCTCATATACTTGAAGAGAATCCAATAAACTGGTAAAAGACAAACTGAATAAAATAAAATAAAATAAAAAACTAATGCATCCACCACCAGGATCCTCTAGAGTTAAAGTCCTGGAGTGAACTCTTAAAGTACTTCATCCAACGGCTGAAATCATACCTCACCAAAAGGACGTCGTTTTGGTGAGTAATTTGGAAAAAAAAAAAAACGCAGCTTTAATTTAAAACATTTCCTGCAAATATGAAGCGTGAGAGGGAGAGAGAGAGAAGGGCTGAGAGGAACAGGACATCGTTGCCCGTCCCTTCCTACCCTTGACGCACCACCGCCACCGTCGCTGTCGCTGCCACTGCCACGACGCTGCCCCGCCATGGAGAGGGGTGACTCATTTTATCTTCATTCTTCAGATTGTAAACAAAAAAAAGAATTCTGTTTTTGGCATAGTTTTTTCTTTGTCCATAAACTTGTTTCAATTAATCAAGAGAGTAAGAGATTATTTTAATTACTATTTTCAATACCCAAAAATGGCTTCAGAGGAGGGACAATTGATCAGCTGCCACACCCTCGACCAGTGGAACAACCAGCTCCAGACGGCCGAAGACTCCAAGAAATTGGTATTCTAACTATTTTTCTCTCTCTCTCTCTCTGTTTTTTTTTTTTTTGATTTATTTTTACACTTTTCTTTTCTGTATTTCAATCAATGTAAATTTTATTTGTTATTCTTTTAATTACTTGTTGGATTGATGTCTGCTTTTTAGTTAATGGGTTTGATTTTGATTGGATTTTTAGCACTTATTGTTTTTATTGTTTTCAAGAAGTATTTTTTTTATTAGAGTTTTTCATGGGAGAAGTTATTATTTTTTGGAAATATAATTGACCATGGATGTGAGTATTTCTCTGTACATGGTCATGGTGGAATTCCCAAACCCACCTGATAATTTTTGCTTTCTCTTCCATGGAGTCAGTCTTGGACTCTTGGGGGTTTTTTCTTCTCTCAACGGCGCGGCAGTGGCGGCGATGGGAGGGTGGGAAGGGGCTGGGCGAGACGGGGCGGCGATGTCATGCTCCTCCTCTCAGCCCTCTCTCTCTTATGCTTCATATTTGCAGGAAATGTTTTGAATTAAAGCTGTGTTGTTTTTTTTTTTTTTTTTTCAAATTACTCACCAAAACGACGTCGTTTTGGTGAGGTATGATTTCAGCCGTTGGATGAAGTACTTTAAGAGTTCACTCCAGGACTTTAACTCTAGAGGATCCTGGTGGTGGATGCATTAGTTTTTTATTTTATTTTATTTTATTCAGTTTGTCTTTTACCAGTTTATTGGATTGTCTTCAAGTATATGAGATTTTTTTTGTTTTGGGATTGATATTTTTGGGTTTAGTTTAATGAAATTTAATTATTTTCTGTTTCGTTTAATAAATTTCTGCATTAACTAATTAAATTACTTGTTGCGTTTATAAAGTTGACGTTATTATATCTTGATTTATTTTTAAAACTTAGAAAATTAAGGGTGTGATTTGTTTGTGTTTTGAGATAAATTTTTTTTAAAAAAATTATAGGGAGAGAGTTTAGAAAGTTTTTTAGTTTGTTTGGTTGTATATTTTGAAAATAATTTTGAAATTTGTGAGTTTGGAATAATTTAATATTTTGTTATAATTGAGTAAATGTATATAAAGAAAAAGTGCTTGAGAATGAGAGAGGAAAGAAAAAAAGTGATTGATTGATGTATTGAAAAAAAAAAATAATTTTGAAATTTGTTAAAAAAAAAGTTAAACCAAACAAAATTTTTAAAAAATTTCTCAAAAATTATGGCCTTGTTTGGTTTAATTTTGGGAAATAAATTTTCAAAAAAAAATTTGGAAAAAAAGTTTAGAATTTTTTTTGATTTTTTTGGTTATATATTTTGAAAATAGTTTTGAAATATGAGAGTTTAGAATGATTTGATATTTTGTAATAGTTGAGTAGATGCGTGTGAGAGAGAAAAAGTGATTGAGAAGAAGAGATGAGAGAGAAAAAGTTATTGATTAATATATATGAGATAAAAAATAATTTAATTTTTTTTTAAAATCACTAAATCAAGCAAAATTTAAAAAAAAAAAATCAAAATTTATCTCTCATAACCAAACTCAACA